GGTATAGGTGACCATGATGATGCTTGTGAGTAAGTTCGTTGCGATGATGGTCTTCGTTGGATACTTTTAGGGTTCATCAAAAGGTGTACTTTCATTTAGGCTTTTAGCTTGTAGGCTATGTCTAACTCATATTTATATGTTGTATCACGTTTTGATTGTAAATATTGAATGCATAACGTACCTTATGGTTAAGACAAAACATGTACAAGTTGTTTATGAATAAAATGAAAGTGTTTTGCCCAAATCTTGTGTCTATTTATTTTACATTACCTTAAATCTTTGGGTATCTCATGTAAAGTGTTTATGCAGCTAAAACCTTAATTTTTCTACTACAAAGTCATAGGATAGTAGGTTGTCACTATAAGTGATAAATTTAGGTCATCACAGATTCGGTCAGCTTGACGCAGCTTTTTCATCATTGAAATTTTCGAGGCATGACCTAAATTTTTATGTTGATAGTTTTGCCAAGAATTTTTACGCGAGCTTTCAAACCAAATGTTTTTCATTGCGCATTGCATGTTTCACACACGGCTCCAAGTCTTAGGGTTTCGTCATGCATTCGATAAAAGCGATGCACCCGACCCATTGTTGGTCGAGTGCACTGTGCAGCTATGTTCAATGCTCTACAAATGCTTAACACCGGCATAACACTGCTGCCTCTAGTTTGGGCTTGGTGTGTTATAGTTATAATCTTTTTAGTGTTAATAGACACTCTCTTATCGGAGATATAGTGCCCTAAGTACTCAATCTTATCACAACTAAAGATACATTTACTCAATTTGGCAAAAAGTTTGTGAGACCGTAGTAGGGTCGGTATTGTTTTCAAGTGGTTAGTGTATTCATTAAAGGTCTACCTATATATCGGGGTGTCGTAAAGAAAAGCAACATGAACTTCTTCAACTAAGGCCTAAACATGTAATTTATTAGGTTTTGGAAGGTAATTGGTGTATTAGTAAGACCAAAAAGCATAATAAAAAATTCATAGTGATCATTGTGTGTTTTAAAGGTTATTTTAGATGTATCAAAAGGGAGCATTCTAATCTAATAGTATCCTAACCTTAGATAAACCTTTAACTAAATGGTAGCCCTATTAAATTCTTCTAACAATTCATCAATTAAAGGTATAGAAAATTTATATTTGATGGTTATGTTGTTTAAGGTTTTATAATCAAAGCATAACCTCCATGACCAATCGTTCTTTTTTATCGGGATTGCTAGGGAAGCAAAAGGACCGACATTGTACTAGATGATTCCTATGGTAAGTATTTCCTCCATTAGTTACTTTATTATATCATTTTGTAATCCAAAATAATGATATGGTCTTTTACCGATAGGTTGCATCCCTTCCTAAAGAGGAATTTTATGGTCATATGACCTAACCGGTGATAAGTGCTTCAGTGCTAGGGAAATACAACTTAAAACTTAGTTAGAGGGTAATGATGGATGGGTGTTATAGCTACAACTAACAAGTAAGAATTGTGTTACCGTCTATTAATTGAGTAGACTCAATAAGAATAAGACTGCAAGTGTGTGTCCGCACCACTTCGATAAGGTACTCTAATAGTTTTTGCATTTGAGAATTTGAAATAGTTTATAGCTTAGCATTAGGGTGCCCTACCATTTTAACTTTCTTTCCCTTTATTTGGAACTTTATCCATATTTCTTAATAGTTGGACACAATATCACTAATTGGATAGCCGTTAAACTCTTAAGATCATGTCACTACTCGTAGAGCTCTACACTAATATTTCTACACAGAGTTGGATTTATCGCATAATCTACTCGGAAATGTTTGTGCACAACTTGATACTTCCATTAGCCACACTTACTAGCAAAGACTTGATAAGGGATAACCCACATTTTAACCTCTTAACTCGTTGCTAGGTTTAGAAAGTTATAGGTGGAACCGAGTCTAGTAGAATATTTAGGGTATGGTTGTTCCTATGACCTTTCATTCTTAAAGTTTTAAACCCATTCCAGCCTCATAGGGCATTGATAAATATGCGAAGGATAGTTTCCTCATGAAGTTCCTCCTTAAGCTTATATTCCTCCCATCCATTCGGTTCTTCCACCACCTCGTCATCATCTATTTGGATAGAAAAAAACCCTTTTTTGCTTACACTTGTGCCTTGGTACATAAGTGTCATCATACAAAAACACTAATTTTTAACCTCTTTTTCCTTAAACTCTTTGCTTGTTAGGGTTTTTGGTTAGTAAGATTTGTTGTTCTAGTTTTTTATGTATGGTTTTAGGTTAGGTGAATTGGTCATAGTAGCTGGATTATGTGGGGGTCTAGCAATAGGGTGAAACCTAGCGAAAGTCGAAGATGGTCTAAGTGGTATATATGGGTATGCTTTTTGAATGATGTCTTTTAAGATAGGTATTTATATTGTTTTGGTTTCTAGCTAGATCATAGGTTTTAGTGAGGGTTTGAAGTTTAAACATTGACACTAGACCTTGGACATCTTCCTTAAGTTTTGCCAAGAACACACTTAAGGCGTGTTGTTTGTTAACGGTAACTCTATTCCATAAAATATCAAATTCATATATGTATGTTTTTAAGTCTAATGTTTGTGTGAGGTTTTTCGGTAGGCCTAGAAAATCTAATTTTACTCAAAATCTGCTTGTCATTGTAGATATATACTCATGTCTTGGTAGCTTTCTTCCTAAGCACTAGGTGTAAGCCCGATGCCAATATAGGGCCTTGCCATCTAAGAAGAACAAGCATACCGAACCTTCTCGAAGTCATCGCTCGATTCAATCTTAAAGAATTGGTTGCATTTAAACGAGTCATTCATTGATTTCTTCCCCATCGGATATTGAAAAAAAAATTTTAGGTTTTTTTTTTTTTTGGTTTGTAGTAGTGATTGAACTTAGGATTTGTGTGATAAGGTTTGAAGGTAGGATGGTTGAAAGATTAGATACATGATGGTATCATGGTGGTTATGGGTAAAATGGGGTTGGTGGGTGATGGTGAGGTTGGAATACCTTGTGGTTGTGGACTAACGGGGTTGGTGGTTGGTTGTTGCATAGATGATGAAGCTAAACATAGTGGATAACGGGTTTCTAACCTCCGTAAAACCCTCATTTGGTTGCTTAAGAACTTACTCCTACTTGTCTTACCGATTTCTTAACCATTATGCTATTGTTTCAAATTTCACATAGGTTTCTTGAAAGCTTCCTCCTACTTATTAAGGTAATCTAGTTTTGTGTTCTTGGCCATGCTAATTAAGGTCGGATAATCGCCCACTCGATACTAATCGAGAAATGACGGAAGAAGAAGAGAGAGAGAGAGAGGGAGAGAGAGAGAGAGAGAGAGGCGAGGGATAAAGAGAGAAAAAGATAAGAAGACAAAGTTTGTTATGAATTTTCGCATTCCTCATGTTTGTCATTATAATAGATTTGCTTACATGTATAAAACACTAACTTAGACCTATATACCAAATTTAATAGACGTAACAAGTGATAAGCCCACTAACAATAACAAGCCCGGTTAACTAACATTCGGCCTAATACACGAAAAACCTATGATATCACTAATCCAATCCAATTCACTCGTTAATCAATTATTCGGATAATTAAAGATACTGCGAGAGGAATAACATTGGATCTGGATATAAAATGGATATCCGCTTTATTCGATCTAATAAATACCCATAAAAAATATCCGATGATCTGTTGAAGTGGATAAGGATAAAAAAATATTTACCTATTAATATGTTTTCGGGGTATGAGTTCCTACTATTTATCATATTAATACCTACTAATTTATTTTGATTATTTTATTAATATGTAGATATCTAATTGCATAAACTTTAAAAATTAATGACTAAAATATTTTTTTCTAAAAACCTCAAGGACAAAAAAAAAGTATAAATAAACGACCAAAATAAAAAAAATTAAAATTTGAGGATCAAAAAGCTTTTTTTGAAGATTAAAGGGATTAAAAAATATATTTTTAATAAGTATTAAATTGATATTAAATTAACGGATAAAATAATATGATCCGAATCTAAGCTACATAAATAAGATTTTTTTTTAATAAGTAAATAAGATAAAAAATTATATTAATGGGCCGGTAACCCTGCATTCGATTGCCATCCCTCTACCATGATCTCCCCAATCAATTTAGTTTCCTCTCCCCCTAGCGTCTCCTAACTCTCATCTTCCAGTACCTTTTCATCTTTCTGTCCCTCTTTCTGCCTGTCTCTTCCTCTTCCTGTATCACCTGTTCTTCATACAATTCCTTTCCCTGTATCAACCCCAATAGCTAATCAATAGGCCTTTTATTGTTATTTCAAGTGGGAAGACAGAGGTAAAGTTGCGAGATCAATCAATAAACAAAGCTTACAATTTAGGCCTGCTTCTTACACAGCCGCCCCCGTCATATTTATTCCAAGCAAGCAATGGTCCATCAAATGGGGCGGACAGATCGAAGATTGAACGTGCCCAAACACGGCTCGCTTTGATCAAGTTCTCTAAGAACTTGCTTCTGCTGTTGGTACTTGGGGTCTAAAACTGGAGCACCGATCTTCCGGCATGGCTAGAGAGCTTCCAATTACTCGTTTTTTAAAATTATGATGCCTGGTTTTCATACAAAACTTGTATGTCTCCTCCGGCTTTCTCATTTTGTGACCCATTAATTATACAAGTAATTTCTTTTCTTGATAAGAGATAATGCACCATCATCTTTTTATAGCCGTTGCATGATGGTTATGATAATGCTATCTCATTTTGAAGATTGCCACTTCCCAATTATTCGAGTGGTCCTATGATTTCAGTCATTTAATTGAAAGATTAAAAGGTACTGACATGCTGTTTGGTTTTTGCTAATTCTGGGGGTTCTTTTTCAAATTAGAGTGTTGGATTCTATATATTTTACTGAAGTAGAACAATGTTTTTCACTCACATACCAATATTATATCAAAGAAGTCAATTTCATAACAGCTGTAACACTGAAGTGTTTTTATTTTTCTTGTATTTTTACACGTGAATAGTCCATGCCACCAGCCTTCTGTAAACAGCTCACTGGACAGACATTGCAAAAGGCTGTTCTGAAAAGTTCCTTGGGGCTATGGCATGTTAAAGTTGGTAGCTGCTGCAAAGGAAGGTTGTACTTTGAAGAAGAATGGGAAGATTTTGTGAAGCACCATGGCCTGATTCTTGGAGATTTTGTGTTCTTTCAACACAAGGGAGGCATGGTTTTTGATGTCTTGGTGTTGGATTCAAGCACGTGTGAGAAAGATTTTCCACCAGCCACTATTGGTTTGGCTGAAAGGAAAAAGAGATCATCCCGTGAAGCTAAGAGCCATCATCATCCCAGGAATTTGAAAGGTGCTTCAATTTTCGATTAATGGAAACTTGTAAAAGAGGGACTTCCCAGCAGCCAGAGTCTTACTTAAAAAACTAATTAATTGTACTAAATCTCATTGTTTTTGTTGTTCCACAGGTCAAAGCCCTCCCGAAGATGCCAAATCCTATTCTGCCGAGGGTCCGCATTTTATAACAACGATGAAAAGATCCAATGGATGCAGTAAGAAACCATATATGGTAAGCTTTCACCCCTTTCAATTTGTACAATGCCTATGTGTGCAGTTTTAATTCTCGTAATAAAGCATGCCTCAGAACAGAACATTGTACATGGTGGGCTTGAGGCTGATGCTCCACCATTTTGGGTATTTTTAAGGCTTCTTGACGAGTGGCAAAGGTTGGGTTTAGGTACAACATGCTTCAAACTGGTAGTAACTTATCTAGGACTTGATCAACTTCAATTGATGTTAAATGAACATTGATAATGATATTCAAATACATGGAAATAAAATTACTCCAGCATATAATTCCTTGATGATATTTACCAAGGAAGTACTTAACATGATGTGAGTCAGGTGACCAATTTATCTTAATAAGTGCACCCCTCCTTTGCCTTGTAATATAGTTCGGAAACAGTTCAGGCGCAATATCTTCACTTTAGCTGAAATTATAATTATAATTCTGAGTAATGCAGAGGAATAAGGTAGCTGTACATGGTAAGCTCCATTCGGCTGAAAATATGACTGTTGTTTCAACGAGCTTGTCTTTGCCATTTGTTTGTTGCTCTGCCTTTATATGATAAATAGCTTCGTTTATTCCTCCTGTGTTTCTGTTTGACAGAATATCCCCTCAGAATTTGCAAAAGCAAATCTTGTTCAAAGATCAAGGGTGATTCTCCGGGATCCCTCCAAAAAATTATGGCCAATGAAACTTAAAGGTCGGGTTATCAAAGGTGGTGCAAAGGTGTATGCACGAACATTCATAGGAAAGGGATGGTATGAATTTTATGTTGCCAACAAGCTGAAGCCTGGTGATGCCTGCCTCTTTGAGCTTGATCTCACCAGAAAAGTATCTGCTGTTATGTTGATGGATGTACATATTTTCCGAAAGTGAGCTAAGGAATTCTCAGCAACCTTCTTCTTTTTGTATGACCATTTGGTTTCATTCTCATGTTGTTAGGATTTGCAGCGATGGCTTGTAAGTATGTTTGCCTGCTAGTTAGTTAAATGCCTCTTGCCCCCTTTTGTTAGCAAAATGGTCAGTCCATCCCTGAGATGCATGTATTGTGTAGACTTGTACTAATATTGGATGTCATGATGCTAGTTCATTTTATGTTTCCTGTATAACTTGATTGTTTTACAATGGCCAATTGTGGGAATGATTGGCATCTCAATACCAGGCAATTCCATGAAAAATTTAATGATGCAGCTATCCTACGAAGAAGAAAATCACATTCTTATTTTGTTATTGATACAATTATACATTATTTTTCGTGGAAAAAAAAATCGGTAATTAACAGATAGAAATTAATTGTCTATAGACAGAAAAGTTAGTGATATGTAGAGGGATCTTGATTTGCAATGACAAGAGATTCCCAGTCTCCAACAGTGGAACCGTTTTGCAGCAAAAGAGTAGAGTTATAACTCAGTCTCACACACAAAAAACCTGATTATCTAACAGGATATGGATCGAAATTAGAAACAGAAACAAACTATCTAACATGTCATTGTTCTTTCTGCCTCATATTTTCCATCAACGGTTGCTGGAAAGAATTAAGTGAGAGTAAATAAAAATAGAAATAAAAGTCCAAAGCTTCATACAAGAGCGTTATTTAAATTTTTTGGATCCCAACGCAAAACATCTCTTTTAAATTTCTCTCTTTTCCTTCATTTTATGTTTTTTCCTCATAAAACCTCACATCCGGTAATTTCTCTTACCGTCAAAGCCTTAATTAAACGCGGGCGATGCCCATTGCACCACTTTGCAGCTTCCCATCTACGCGCCATATAACACGTGAAGGACATTCTCCATACTATCAAGTCAACCATCTCGCGGCATCTTCTGCACGTGGGAAAGACGCTCCAATGCGAAACGCGACAACGCCACTACCCATCCTGTCTCTCTCGCAATCAAACTAAAAAAAAAAAAAAAAATCAATCTCTCTCTCATAAAAAATGGCTGTTTTGTGTTTGGTTCTTAGTAATAATTTCCTTTGATTTCAACTCCTTTTTCGATGCAAAACTATCAATGGTTTTTCCTGTTTGATGTAAATTTGAGAGAGCAAGTAGAAACTTCCTAAGAGAATCCAGCGGAGAAGATGGTGAATGTCTTTAGGCGCCCATGCTTCTTTGAGATTTTCTCCTCTAATTTAAGCGCAGAGCGACTGGTAATTTCTTTTTCATTTCACATTCTCCATTTTCTCTATATATCTTCGTGTTTCAAATTCCCCCGATTTTTCTCTGAATTTCCTTTTATTGTTATTGAATCAAGCTAGGGTTTAAACTGTACTTGAGTTTTGGATTGCTACTCCTTACTGGAGAGAGAGAGAGAGAGAGATGTTCGTTATCTTTCCACTGTTATTCAATGCATGGCATTAGTTTTTTCCTACTATTTTCCTCTAAGTGCATGATTATAGTAGTTCTTTACTAGTTGAAGATGTTATATTTGCCTTGTATCAGTTTAATTACTGAATTAACGCAAATCCAAATTATTCCCTGGGCAGAAAATTCCTATCGGTTTCATGAAGCATATGGAGGGGAAAACGTCCGGATTAGTTTCTTTGATGGGCCCTAGTGGGGATGTTTGGACAGCTGACTTGACTCAGGAGGCTGACGATGTATTATTCAGTAATGGGTGGTCGAAATTTGTGAGAGATCATTTCTTAGAATGCGGTGACCTTTTGGTTTTTAGGTATCACGGCGAGTTGTGTTTCTCTGTGCAAGTATTTGATCAAAGTGCGTGTGAGAAAGAGGCTGCATTTCATTCCAAATGTAGCCAAGATTGTAGTGAATTTTGTGGAAGTAAAGGGCAGAAAAGAGAAAGAGAGGAGCCTGGATCGTTAGAGAACAAATTTTCATATGTGCGGAAAAAGGTTAGAGAGGGCTCTTTTGAATTCCATTCAGAATGCATAGAAAAGAAAGGGGAAGCACAAATCAATGCATGTGATGTGGGAGGGTGCCGACGTGTTGGGGTCATTACAACTGAAGAAAGTTTCTCTCATGAAACAAATCAGTGTGGGAATCCGGCCAATTGTTTTACCACTCCCTCTCAATCAAAAGCATGCACTGAAAAGCAGGGTAAAGAAGGTAACTTTCAGCTGTGGGTCTTTTGCAGATAAGAGCATGTTTCATCTTTTTTAAGTCTTCTGCTTGGAAGACTAGGCATGGGAGCCGACTATGTTTCTATCAAACTTTGGTTTGAATCCAAGTTTGCATTAAAAATTAATGAAGCGGAATATTATTATAGATATGTTTGCAGAAATGTCTTCTTCTAGTCCTTTCGTAATTTTAAAAATGATTCAATAAAGTTTGATTTTCATGTAATGTCCAAACATCTTCCATGCCCTAATCAATGGGTTTCTATGCCTTAATAAACAGAGGTAGCCATCCGGAAAAGATTTGGCAAAGATGATGACTTGAAGTTGCATGACAGAGGTCATGTGTCAAATTTTTCAGAACGTGAGAAAAGCGTTGCTGAATCTTTTATTTCTTGCTTTCCGTACTTTGTGAGGATCATGAAACAGTTCAATGTCAGTGGTTCATACACTCTGGTAAGCTCTTCCCTTCTATTTATCTTTCTGTATATTAATGTTCCTTGACAATCACAGTTTGGGCCACGCTAGGATTCCTTCTCATCCATTTTGCATGGAATCAAAACAAAAACAGAACATTTTCCTAATTATATTTTGATGTCTGTTTCTATGCTGCAGAATATACCATATCAATTTTCAATGGCACATCTTCCAAATTGCAGAACAGAAATTATCCTTCGCACTATCAAGGGAGCATGTTGGACTGTGACTTCTGTACCAACTACAAGAGTGCACACAAGTCATACCTTATGTGGAGGATGGATGGCCTTTGTTCGTAGTAATGACATCAATGTGGGAGATGTTTGTATTTTTGAACTTGTGCATGAATATGAATTGCGTGTTTTTATTGTTCGAGTTGGAAATGAGGGCCCAGATTTTGAAACTGGAAAAGTAGCTTCTATTGGGGAAAACACTGGGTGTGCTGCCACTGTACATAAAACTGAAAGTTTTCCAAAGAAATCGAGAAGAAACTGTTTGAAGCTTCATTCTAAACTCATTAAGCAAGCTGAAATATTTGATAAAAAAGGGTTTAAGGAGAGTCAACCAACTGGCTTTTTAAGGCATGGAAATGGAACAAAGGATTCTGCCAGTGTTGTGCTGTGCTCTATGTCAAGAACTGGAAATGGAAAGCCGCGTAAGGACACTGATGTTCTTATCCTTTGTCTTCCAATTAAAGAATCTCTTTTCTAATTAAATGCGCTGTCTTGCACCTAGCCAGAGATTTTCATTAGTTTCTTTTACCCTCTTCTTAGTGACTTTCTGGTGAATTTGGCTTGTGCTTGCTAAGCATCCCTTGTGGAAGAAAGTTTGGTTCTGTCTAAGTTTGCACATAAGCTTTTATTCATGCACATAGACATGGTGTAGTGTTCACCTTTAGAATTTATCATGTTTAACAGAAACTTGTGGGATATTCTTCTCTTTAAGCTTCAGAAGGAACTCGGTAGTTTTATATCTACTTGGCTCATCCAATAGTTCCATTCGTAACATAAAGTGCATTCTTAATTACAAAACAGAGGCACCTATTCAGAATGGAAAGAGTGTAGAAGCTGAAGCTGGTTTGAGAAGGTTGGTAGCACTGGATGAAAAAAGCAGCCAAATGCTTTACCTCTGGTTTTCCTAATTTTGTTAAAATCATGAGGAAGTTCAATGTTAGTGGTTCATATACTTTGGTGAGTGTTTTCCTTTTTTCCTTGCATCTCTCAATGTTTTTACATACTAACTTATTCGTGATTAATGATCAAATCTAAGGGTGCACCATTACTTCATGTACTCAAGCTTAATAGAAACTGGACAAATATGAAGATCCCAAAAACCTAAATGAAATCACAATCATCAAACAAAACAACACCACATCTCAAGAGTTCCTCCTGTTTTGCAATCTGTTGTCATGATTGATGCTTGACAATCTCTAGTGCCTGTTGTGCAGAAAATCCCCCACCAGTTTTCTGCAGCATATCTTCCAAACTGCAAGACAGAGGTCGTCCTTCGTAATTTACGAGGAGAATGCTGGACTGTGAATTCACTCCCAGACTCAAAAGGGAGAGCAGTGCATACTTTTTGTGGAGGGTGGATAGCCTTTGTTCGTGACAACAATATCAAGATAGGGGATATCTGCATGTTTGAACTTGTTGGCAAGTGTCAAATGCAGGTCCAGATATCTGGGGTTGGACAAGAAGCAGTCAATCATCAAATTGGAAAACCAACCTCTTGTGGCAGTGTCTTGCAATGATCCTCCCTTATGAGGTGCATGGAAGGTTTCAGCCATCACTGGACATGTATTTTTGGTGAGAATTACAATTTCTGCATTCTCCGTACTTTATGTGTGGTGTACCTTGTGCATTGTTGTTTGTTTTCTGCACATCTCTCAATAACTTTTTGCTCTGATGACATGATTCAATCAATTTGTTTTTATAAAATTTTAATTCACACACGAGTTTCTGATTATTGCATTTGTGGTTCTCTGAAACTATGCTATTGTAAGATGGGCTTCATGTGGGTAAACGGGGTCAAGGCACTGCCACTTCCTGGACTGTATCATTCACAAATTTAGGGTTTTTCATGCATATTTTGAAGTTAAATTTGGTTGGTGAAGCATCCAGTTTATTGCTTTGTCAGCTGACACTGTTAGCAGTCCTGGGTCTCTTTTTCCCCACCTGCCATTATGAAAATTTTCAATGATAATCATAAAAAATTGACATAACAGAGAAATTTGATGTTTTCCAGTTTGAGATAGGCTATACCAAAAGAAATTTATATAGAAAAATTAGATTGATAGAAACAGGATTTAATGTGATGTGAAGACATCATATCACACTCATATGGCAAGTAATAGCTCCATACATCACATACCCCATTAGTTTGTGAGATTTTTTTATATGAATTTTATGTGTAAACTTTTCCTATTGGGTATATGTGCCGAATAAAATTCACACTTAAAAAGGATGCTGTCTATGATCTTTTTGAATCCTATTGCCGGATGTTGAATCGAAGAAACTCGTTACGATTTCATTCCATCCCATAAGAGGTTTTACATGCCATCCTTGATGTCCCCACACCCACACCCCAACCACACCACCCCCAAACACACACACACACACTTACTTTATATATATATATATATATATATTGTAAATATAGTTTGTGTACAATTCAACTTGTCCCATGACATGATGATTCTTATTCTTTCATTTTTTTTTTTTAAAACTAAAGTACAGTTTGGGCTGCCTTTTGTATGTGTTTACCAGTTACCACAGCCAGCGATGTGATACTCGCATGCCAAGGGGCAATTCCTCAATCTTTTTGTTAAATAGCTGGAAAAATGCTCAAAGATGGCTGAAGGAAGTGGAGACATTCTGTTAAGTTTGGTGTGTTATTCGGCGGCATTTTTTGGGTTTCCTTGAATCTGCTGCCACTAGTTTTTCATGTAACAGTGTGCTTGAGTAATCCTTGTAACTATCTATGTACATGCGATGTATCATGGTTAGTTTTGCTTATCTGTAGCTTGCACTTGCAGCTAAGCTTGCAGTGGGAACAATTAGAGTGTAGGATGAAACTGTAAAAATTAGATATTGAGACTTTGTTAATTTAATCCCCTTTATCCAAGCAACTTGTGTGATAATTATTTCTTAGCACTTACTGGTATCAACTGGGAGAAGGTGTGGGCCAGTAAAGTAAAAATGAGGAAGAAGAGCCACCCACTTGCAAAATCAATTGGGCTGAATAGGTTGGAACCTAAATGACTTGTACTTTGAAGCTAAAGCAGAATGTTCTAAATCTCCGTCAAACGTGAGCTTGATTCCTGTCCAGCCAAGCAAGGTAAGCCATCGGGGTTAGAGGGGTCCTTGTTCCATTCCATAATTCGGTTACATTAGGAAAGACTATTTAAATTCTTCATCAAAGGTGATGTGGCTGAGAGGGCTCCTGATCCTGCCTGATTCCTGAACAACACAACAGCTCATTCCTTATTTATCGGAGACATTATCATGAGCACTAGCAATGAATTTGATTGTAACGTAACGAACCGAACCTGACAGCCCACAACTAGCTACGGAGAGCCAATAGGAGAGCAGATGTTCAGCCATCATTCTAAAGCCAGAGTGTCTTGCACTTGTTAGCTAGGCAGAGGCGGGCTCGCCTTTCGAGTCATTTCTAGACTCGATTCTTGAAATCATCCATTATATATTGGTTACTTTTTATAAATTATGAATGAAGTTACAAATCTCTTTATTTTTAGTATTTTCTTTATTTTCAGATCCATTTTTCTTATCAAGATAGGTTTCATTATAAACGAGCTGTCTACTTTGAATTGTAGCACTGCCACTGACAAAAAATTTCCTATCATCTTAGTCAACACCTATTTTTCAGTTCGATTTTTTTTTTTATAGTTTTTATTAATCGAATTGATTAAAATAAAAATCGAAACTGAACCGAATTGAGATTTAATTTTTTAGTTAAAAATCAGGTTTTTTAATATTTTTTTTTTAATTTTCTCTTGAACCAAATTGAAAGATCATTTTTTTTAATTTTTTTTTAATTTTTAAAAAATATTAATAGTTTGAATTGAAGTTTTAGCATAAAAATCAGAATTTAAGTAAATTCAGGGATCAAAATAAATAAAAAATTAATATTTAAGTAATCAATCATAAAAAATCAACAGTTGAACATTAAAATAGAAAAAAATTGAAAGGGTGGATACAAAAAAAAAAAAAAAAAAAGTAAAAGTTTGTCTCTTTTCCATTTCACTTCTCAAAAGAAATTAATTTATTTACGCGTAAAGCTTTTATTTTCTGGACGAATTGTGGTAAAAGTTAGGAGAAGAATTTATTTTATTTTTTCTGGTCAAAAAAAGTTCGTACAGTTACTTTTTAATAATAAAATATAATAATTACTGTCACCAAGATAATAACAACTGATAAAGTATTTACTACCTAACTGGAAAAGCAGCACTAGTGGCTGGTGTGGTGTAACTGTAGCAAAGTTAATTATTCACCATTCTCTGTTTCTGCGTTATATATGATTCATTTCTCTAGGGCTCCCCTGGATTCCTTAAGTTTTTTCTGTACTTTGGTGGGTCTTCTCTTCTTCTCCTTGGAAAAGTTTTCGGAAATTTTGAAACTTGCTAATATTTTGCATTATGGCTTGCAAAAATATGTTTTTGAATTCACTGCTTCTGTTAAATTTTGATTTTTAGAGCTGTACATTAGCGGAAATGGGAGAAGAGACATGCAAGGACTGCAGGAGCTGGGAAGAGAAAACATATTGGACCCATTTTCAGTACATACAGTTCTCTCAGTTCCTCCATTCTGGGTTTGATCAACGCCTGGTATGTGAATGTCTGCTCTGCTTATGAGGCTTCAGTCTTCCTGGTTTAGTGGGTTGTAGTTTGTTTCGTAATTAAAGAGTGGTCTCACTATCTTGTCTTTCTTTTTTCTTGCATAAAATGTCCTAAATTGCAAGCTACTCTATAAATTACCCCTTTGATTTGGTGAAACTAGTACTATTAACGATCATGAGCATTTTTTATTTTAGTTTTTTCCCCCTCTTCAGGACTTTTTAACTTCCATGTAGATCAAGAATACATTTATGCTCATAAATTTGCATTTATTTATCAAGGTATTCAATTGGTCAATTATTCTAAAATTATGCATAATAAATTGATAGATTATTTGAGGAACCAGAATCGACAATGCAACCAACCAGTACTGCTGCTTCTTCCTTGTTTTTAGCTTGTTTTTTAGGGTTCTTTTTGACGGCCGGCCTATGGATTAGAATCATCTCGCATATTTTTGCTACTTTACTTCCACACTCTTGTTGCTTTTTAACATTTGTTTTGTTGAAGTTGGAGGTTCTACTTGTTTATGGAATTGCAGGCCATTCCTGAAAAATTTGCTAGACATCTGAGAAAGAAATTGCCTGATACTGTGAACCTTAAAGGTCCTAGTGGTGCTGCATGGAAAGTAGGACTAACAACACACAATAATACCCTATTCTTCAGTCATGGCTGGCAAGAATTTGTCAAGGACCATTCTCTTGAAGAGACTGATTTCTTGATCTTTAAGTACAATGGGGAGTCAAACTTCGATGTATTAATGTTCAATATGCAGAGCATGTGTGAGAAGGCAGCTTCTTACTTCGTCAAAAAATGTGAATCTACTGAACGTGGCAATGGTTGTCAAACAAAAAGAAAAACTGTTAAAAGTACTATTGAAGTTATTTATGCCTCTCCTAAGGGTGTAGCTGGAGGTTCTCAACCTGAGGAATTTATGGACAACGATTCTGATGCAATACCATTTGGGCAGGCTAGTGTTTCTGACAAGAAACTCTGTAGTGGAATTAGGTCAACTGAGGGCATTGAAGAGGATGTTGTTGGAGGTTCCCAACAGGAGGAGTCTAAAGATAATAGTTCTGACACAATACCACCACAAAGGCAGCCTATTATCTACCAAGTTAGTAAGAAGAAAATTTCAAGGGAAATTAAGTCAATCAGGCCCGTTCGATACTGGCAGGTTGTAAAACGCAGAGGACCTTCTACTTGTGAGGAAATAGAGACTGAACCTGGTAGGTTTCTTCATATTTTTGTTCTTTAGAAGAGTGCTTGTGCTATATCTGCTATAATCGAGCTCTCCACAAGACCTCTTTCTTTCTGTCTTCTGCTGAGCATGCTCGAGGGTTGTACATTTGCTTATTTGTATTACCAGTTTCTTGGAAACACTTTGGTCCATCTTTTTTAGTTCATTTTCAGGGTTTATTTCCGCCAATATTTGGCCCTAATGTGCTTAATCAAGTGTATTTCTAGATGCACAAAAGTGTTAGATTTATAAATTTTTCTTGTTCCTTAAATAGTTCAATTCGCGGATATTTCAGATGTTCAGTGCATAGGCCAAGCAGTGGATAGTGGGCACCATGCGAGAAAAAGAAGGAAAATAGCAGAGGAAGGGAAACGGAGAGCAATGCAATTGGCTGTAAAAGCCGTAACCAAGAATGGTTTCCTTGTACTTATGAAGCCCACACATGTGTATTGGAGATTCTTTATGGTAAAACATTTCTTTCTCAACTTAAATCATACTTTCTACCATGTACGGAGTTTTTTGCCCCATCGCAATTCGTTCGTTTTTTTCTCTTGGGTTTCAATTCTCATAATGTTGATTGCTGCAACACTTGCCATTGCATAGAAAAAACACAGAAGCTTGATCTTGTTTATTACATTGTGTTGCTTCTTGCAGGCAGTTCCTTCAGCGTGGCTTGTTAAACATCTTCCCATTAAAGGAAATCAAGATGTAATTCTACGTTTTAAAGAACGAACATGGAACACGAGATTCTTATATCACAAGTCTCGTAACACTGGAGGGCTGACTGGTGGATGGAAGAAATTTGCATTGGACAACAAATTGCATGAATTTGATGTGTGCGTATTTGAACCTCTGGACCTGGTGAGCAACCCAGTTATCCTAAATGTCAGCATCTTTCGTGCCGTCGAAGAAGCAAATCCAGTTACCTCACAAGTGGATGAGAAAGAAATGCAGGACCATCCATGATCTCACAATTCCTTTGGACTGTTTTACGCTGACTACTTTTTTGTTAACTAGGACATTAAGTAGTCCGGACTCCAGTAGATTTAGGTTTTTGTTGTATATTGTTAGTGTTTTGGCTGTTAAAAGTTTGCTGTATGGACTGACTAGATGAGGTTATGATATGCTGTATGTAAATATAGATGATGTCTTATTTTTCTCTTTTGTTGCTCTTCGTGCTTATACAAGTTGCTGTGGGCCTGTGGCTGACTTGCTTTTTGATTTGTGGAATTGATATCCCAATGAGTTTTTAATTTTCCAAACATAAATGGGCTTCATCTATGAGGGCCCAAATCTGTAATACAGAGTCAGTTTGAGGCTGGAAGTCCACAAATGGACCTAGAGATCAAGTGGGCTAGTCGTGCTACGTGTACAAACGGAGGCCACGTTTATGACTTTTTTGTGTTTTTTTGACAACTGGCCGTTTGTTATTGTGAGTGGTATATGACAATAATTTTTACCATCGAAAAAAATATAATAATAGAGCAAATATTAACAAGAAAACTTGGAACAAAAGTAACTATTACTATTCAATCACTGTTTATCTACACTTATGGATATTATTTACTTACTGTTATTATAAATCTTATCTTTTGTTCATGCATTTGTGATAACATTGTTGTGATTTTAGTTTTATTTTTTCCTTCAAAATTTTGATACTAAGTTTTAACAAATATTTTATTTTAGTTCTTGATTTTTTTAAAAAACTTTTATTTCAGTTTTTAACTTCATTTATGTCACAAATCAATCAATGAATATAGAGAGAAACGATTAAAGAAGAAAGAAGAGAGAATGCGACATCAAAATTTATTCTGATCACTTTTACTATCTATCTTAGTTTTGATTTATTCATTTTGAAGAAAACAGTTTATTTATTATGGTCGTAAGCTATGAAATGACCGAAAGGAAAAGATCGATATCCCAAAAACATTTACTTGAGTTTTTTAATTTGATTTGAATTTTTTAGTAAGTATATTTTTGAGTTTTCGAGCAATAATTAAAATTAAAAAATAGAGAGAGAGAACTATACGGAGACGAAGGCTATCGAATCATAATATTTTTTTTCAAATGATTTCATCTATTATATTAAATCCATAACATAATGTGAAACAGATTAGTTGATAAACCCTAAAAAATTAATTGTTTGAATGATTGCTTGAAGTATAAATAAATTATTTTAAAAATATAATTTGTAGGATTAACGATGACAACAATGATGTCTTTTTTTCTAAATATCTTTAAAGATCGTGACTCCATTAATTGAAATGAAAATCCTGGTTTTCAATCATCATGGAGAGAGATTGATTGAAAAAATCAAAAAAGAGATCATCACAATAGTTGAGGGGAGAGAAAAATGATACATGAACGAGAGAAATAAGACATCAAAAAATAGATAATTTAAAAATAAAAATACTATATTATAACATTTTTTCACCAAACTAATAACAAACTGATAAAAATATTAAATTATTAATAAAATTAAAACATAAATAACTAAACCATTGGTTTTTGGAAAAAAAGTTTAACTAATTTATTTTTTACAAAAACAAAGAAAATTAATTTATAATTTACTCGATTCTACAAAAAGCAGCATATTTTTTTTCTAAAAAACCTAATTATCTTTTATTTTTTGCAATAAAAAGATATTTCATTTTACTGTGTCCATCGATTTTACAAAATGAACTATTGAATTAACAATTTAATCCAATTCCATAGATATTATCTTTCAATTCACTTGAAATATGATAAATAACCCGTATTTTACTCTCATGACCTATACCTAGTTTCAACCTAACTAACTACATAACATAACGTTCGAATATATTATTAATAATAATTAATCATATCTAGTTACACATAATAATTTTTATTACACACCGTAATATAATAAAAATGAAAAACTCAACTCAATCCGAAATCTGACAGAACGCAGCCTGACAGGGTGATACAATATATGACCTAACTAACCCGATTCAATCCTAAGCGAGCAAGATAAAAGCTAATTCGATCCGATTCGACCAATCTATTTCTATCTTTGGGTCTAAAATCTAAACAGGAAAGCCAGAAAGTCAGAAACATGAAGTAGTGGCGAATGGCGAAGGCTTTGTTAAAAACCGAAGAACTGAAAAGAGTAAAGAGCTAGGGATTCCACACGAACAATCCCAAGGCCCAAGGATGCGAGCGTGCGACACATGTTGGCTCTTCGTTTCATGTCCCTGTCTTGTCAATGGAAGTCTCTCTCTCACCACTTCTTGTTTGGAGTAAGTTATTACAAGTCTGTCTCCTTTGCTGTCCTCCTTTCTCTCATTCCTCCCTTTCTTTTTATTGAGAAGGTAATTTTTGACCTTTTTTTTTCTTTACTCAAATTAATCAAAAGCCTTTATCACTAAAAACAGAACTAGTTGGTGTAACCGTAAAAAGTCCATTAATGTTTTTTTTTTTTTTTTTGGCAGTAAAAGAAAGTAATTATGAATATATTTATAGCCACTCTTAAATTTAGAAATTTGTTTGTTGTTAAATTGTTGTTGTTTAGCTCATTCTTGTCAATTTCTGATTTCTAGAACTGCAGTAAGTTCAGCAAGTGGAAATGGGAGAAGAAACATGTGAAGATTGCAGAAGCTGGGAAGAGGAACTGTATTGGACCCATTTCCAGTGCACCCATTTTTCTCAGATTCTCGATGCTGGTTTTGTTCATCAGCTTGTAAGTTTTCCTTGCTATGAGACCATTTTAGGCTTCAGGGGTCTTGTCTGGTTTCTTATGGTGGTTTTGTTTTAGGCTTTCAGGGGCATGTCTGTTTTCTTACTTTCTCTTGGTTTTGTCCCGATGCGATAATGCCCACTATTAGAGGAATTTTAGGGTTTATCTGGATTTGTATCGCAACATTTGCATGAAAATGAGTTGGAAAAGTGGCTAATTTGACAAATGCTGACAAAGTTTCTTGTCTATTCTTCAAGTTTAGAAATGGGTAACATATTCTTCTCTTGCCATTGAAATGTACTCAACTCAACTAAATTTTACTCATCAAAGTTTGATGCTTTAACGAATTGAACAAACTTTCTTCCTTTCCTTAATTTTGTGGTCCCTTGCTAAAATCTTGCGATTCTGCTTGTTGATATGCGTAACGGGATTCATATCTTGGTCCTTTATGTCCCTTATTTGAACCAGGTTGTGGATATTCTTTTCCTTCTCGCCACCTAACCGTTTCTTAGCTACCTTGTACATTACATATGCATCTCGATTAGCACTTGGATTCTTGGACTATCCCGTTCGGCCTTAATAAATTTGAAGCTCTAGAAACATAAATGTTAATGTGATATGTTATTTTAGAACTACCGTTTTTATATTTAATTAGGGATATGGAATGACGTGATCATGGCTGATACATTAGAGCTCACCACAATGCCTCTTTGTGTTTAAATTGCAGCCGATCCCTGAAAAATTTTCTAATCATTTGAAGAAGAAATTGCCCGAAAATGTGATTCTTAAAGGTCCTAGTGGCAGCACATGGCAAGTTGAACTGACTACAGATGATGACACCATGTTCTTTAAACGTGGTTGGGAACAATTTGTAAAGGACCATTTTCTGGAGGAAAAGGATTTATTAATCTTTAAGTACAATGGGGAGTCATATTTTGATGTTCTAATTTTTGATGGACAAAGCTTGTGTGAGAAGGCAGCTTCATATTTTGTCAGAAAATGTGGGCACCGAGAACGTGACAGTTTCGTCCAAACAAAGAGGAAAACTGTAGAAGATTCTGCTGAAGTTACTATTGGCTGCCCCCAGGATGGTCTTGGAGGCACCCCAGAGAAATCTGCTGATGGTTACATTTATAAAACGCCTGTAAGAAACACTGTTATCTCAAAAGCTATTAATAAAAAGACTCGGAGGGAAATCAAGTTCAGTAAGCCTATCCAAACTAGGCAGAGTGTGAGATATGAAGAACCTTCTTCTAATGCCGAGGAAATAGAAACCAAACCTGGTAAATCCTTGTAATTTTGTTATCTAAAATGCATAACAAATGAATGGTTCACCACTGGTGGGCTCTAACTAGACTTGTTCTCATAGCAATCTATTGGTGCTCTCGGTATAGGAAGTATTGCCAGTTGATCCAGCACCTTGCTAAGCGTCCATCTTCTAAGCTTCCCTTACTAATGTAAAATAAAATAAGTTGCTTGCCTTTGCTTTTTTTTTTTTTTTTGTCCTTCTCTGTGTGCTTCTCCTATTGATTAACTGGCTTCATCACCAGTAAGTGATGCATTTTGGAAATCTTTCTCTTCAGCATTTTCAAGATTGCTTAATTTTTATATTTTGAAATTTGTTTATATTTATTTTAACAAACCTCCATATCCGTTTACTAGCCAACCAGTTATACAATTGTCGTATCCTGTGTTATTTTCTTTAATAGATTTTAGAAGGATGATCGCTAATGAAGTGTCTTTGTGTCGATAGAGGCATAGACTTATGTAGTTGATGGAATTGTTACCTCTTAAATTGTTGTGGTTTATAAATGATCAGATGTTCAGCATATACCTATCAGTGCACCATATGAATCAAGTAGAAGGATGGTAGCAGAGGAAGACAAACTCCGTGCATTACGGTTAGCACAAACAGCACAAACCAACGAGGGCTTTGTTGTGGTTATGAAACCCACACATGTCTACAGGAAATTTTACATGGTAAAAATATCTTTTCTTTTATTATGTGTTTAAATTTCTTACTATTTCATCTCTCAATCCCTGTTTTCCTTTTTATCCATAGGTAAGTGTCAATTGTTTCCATTGTCAGGATTGATAGGCAGCTTTGAAGTTTGGTCTTACTTGTTATACTTACACTGCTCCATTCAGGTAATCCCTTCAGGATGGACAACTAGACATTTCAGAACCCTGGAAAAAAAGAAGTAATTCTTCGCATGAAAGAAAATACGTGGAACGCCAAATTTTTGTATTGTAAATCTAAGAACAGTGGAGGGCTTTCTTCTGGGTGGAGGAGTTTTGCTTTGGATAACAATTTGCAGGAGTTTGATGTGTGCCTGTTCGAACCTAGCAATGCAGCGAACAACTCTATTGTCTTGGATGTTAATATCTTTCGTGTTCTCTAGTGACTTTGTCATTTGCTAATCATCAAGGGATGAAGCTAGTCACACTGGTCATCTGGGCATAAAAACTACTCAAATCTTGTTACAATTGAGTTCTTGACTAATGTAGAGTTTTAGCTAAGCTTCCGAGTATTGTAAACTCTTAACAACTGGTGACTTGTGTTCGACCTTAGTGTGAAGTTGGCTATTAGAACTCGTATCACTGTTTGTTTATACGATCTATGTAGACCATATGATAGATTGCTTTTGTTCTGTTAGCTTTTGACGACCACTATGTTCAGCTGTGATGGGTTGAAAGGTAAAAGAAATTTGCCTTCGGATTAGTGAAATTTTATTATATTCAAGGAGTAATTAGTGATATGTATAATAATTACTTCATGGATTCATTTGAAGAAGAGAGATAGAAAGAAAAAAAAAACCGAGAAAATTAAAAAAAAATGAATAAACTAGAAATCTTCTTAGTAACTAGTGGTAATATAATAGTTGTTTTATAGGTTCATTTGGAGAAGAGAGATAAATATATAAAATTACATTTGGATCTATTAAAAGTGAAAATTCTCTCTCTTATTTCTCTCTTTTATTTTTATATTTATCTCTCTTCTCCAAGTGGACTCATAAAGTAAGTGCTCGTATATATCACTAGTTGCTTCCTTAAATATTATAAAATTTATCTTCTTAAGTATTATAAAATTTCTTTTTTGATTATATTTTAGTTTAGGCTTTATCCAGCAATTACGACGAAAAAAAAAAAAACTCTGGTTAGCCGTGCCGCTGTCTTCTTCACTTTTACGTCACAATTGAGAAGTATTTGTGCTTAGTTTATCAGTTTAGCCCAGTCACGATAGCTTGGGTATGAAAGAATTGTGTTATTGTGGGCTGTATATCCCCTTGCTCACAAAGGTGTGTTGCGAGTTCATATACCGAGAGTTCAGGGGAAAGGGGCCAAGAGCTGTACCCACTGAAGTCTTGACCAATAAATTATAGATTACGGGCTACTTCTTTCGACAAAATAGGTGCCCACGAACTCTTTTATGGGCTTGGACGGTCTATAGGATACAAACGTTAGCATTTGCATTGCTTCTTTATGGCTCTAGTTCTGCTTTCCCCTTACGGCTCCTGTATCTCATCTCAATTATTTGTCAGCCAATCATATCTTTTCTCATCTTATCCCATTTCATCCCTGTACAAAAACATTCTTTTGCCCCTCCCTCTTCTTGTTTGCAAAGCTTCTCCGATCCAAGATACAGGTAATCACATTAACTTTCTACTTCATTTCCAGCATGTTATTTGGCAATACAGATCCAAATGCAGCCAGCTTATTAAATCCGAAAGCTTCATAATCTATATACCTGTAACTTGTGCTCATTGCAGACATGGCAACAACAGCAGCTGCCTTTGCTCCTGCAGCAATCACTGGTGCAGTCGTGAACTTTGGGAGCAAGATCCCCAAGAGAACGAACAAGGTGGTTTACATTGGAGGAATGAATTCCTATGGGGGTCTTAAAGCCCACAACAGTGTGCTTTCTCTGAGCATGCCTGTGTCCACTGAGCAGTGCTTTGCCAAAGTGATTAGCTCATTGAGAGCAGCGTCAAATGGGAGAGGAAGAGGTGGAGGTGCACTCTTCTCTAAATGTAGTGACGTGGGTGAGATATTCAGGATTGCTGCAATTATGAATGGCCTTGTTTTGGTTGGGGTTGCTGTTGGATTTGTACTCCTCCGAATCGAAGCGTGGGTTGAGGAAAATGAGTGAGTTTTTTTTTGCGAACCAGCGAAAGAAATTACGTGCTGCTAGATCACTGTTGATTTGTCAATCTTTTACATGTAATGTATAAATAAATTTAATCGCTTCAAAACTTCTGGCATACCTTGTTTTAGATGTGAATCAACGTCCTCCTTTACCCGCGAAGAGAGGTAAAGCTAATAACGTTCGGAACAGGTGACAAAAGACAGTCAATTACCCGATAATGCACATTTTGTTATGATTCTGAACAATTATCAAGGCTAAAGTCCAATTTCACCGCATGGAACTAGCGGAATAAATGGACGAAGAAAGTTTAATCAACAGTTGCGTTAATTCAGCATGCAAACATTGTTCATTGTGACACAGGTCAAAGAAATACAAACGAAATGTGAAGCTCACGATTAGATAAAAATCTGGTAAATTCTGCGGTTGCAGATAATTCTTAGTCACATGGCAGGAGGAAAAACACCAAATACAGTACAAGTCAAAATTGTTTCTCAACAATTTCTACAGGTCATCCAGAAGACACTGCAATTTAAAAGCAATGATACACCCACTTAGGGCAATAATTGGAAGTGATAATTGACAGCAATATGATCAGTGAATTCCTTCAATATACTTCAAGAGCTTTTCTTCAGCCAACCATCTGCTGTTGGAGAAGATACTGGACTTCCTCAAGAAGAGGGTCTCTGACATGCAGAAAAGAGTTGCCAGCTAATAAAGGCCGTCACCAGAGAGGTGAACAGTTCAAAGCCTACCACCTTTGGGAAATGCCACCCCAATCCTCTTCTCAAGTAGCTGAGAAAGCCATAATTTAGCAAATTAGATGAAAGACTGAGCTCAGCGCAGATTTTTTTCCAGACACAGAAGAATGAAACCATAACATACAAATTCCATGATGCTCTCTTCGGCAATCCTCTTTGGGGTTGCATTGAAAATCTAGGGTGAATGTCATTACACTTGCCAAAGACAAAACAGTTTTCAAGAAGAAAGGATATCGGACTTCTAAAAGGTTTTAAGAAACATATGACGCATGGGCCTAGTATCCAATGTCCCTGATTTTAGATACCCTTAAATTGTAGGGTAAGAGTTGAATCTTATTGAGTGAGATAGTTGGGAAATGTTACATCCAAAAGACTTAAACCTTATGATGGGTGGTCCAATAAGTGAAATGGTGAGATTCGAATCCATGACTGTTTGGTCAACAAGGCTCTGAAATTATATTGAGTTAGATAGTTGAGATTGTGTTCTATCCAAAAAACTAAATCCTTATGGTAGATGAACCTTTCTCAATTTTATATATTACTTATCTATTATATATTCAATTCAATATGAGATATGTTCTCTAACAAATCTAATGCATTTCTAATTTGCTATAAAGCTTAAATTTCGATTGTGCCAAACACACACACACACACAAAAAAACACACACACGCACGCACACAGATGGTCATATGCTAGGAATAGAAGTTAAGTAGCAGACCTTGTGATGGATGGCATGGTTGCCACAATTCCTGCACATGCATATATGATGGGAATCAAAGTCTTGGGCTTATTTTTCCGAAGCCACATCAGAGATCCCAAAGCAGCAAGGGATATACTCAAAACCTGAAATTCATTGAAGAGAGAAAAGATTCCCCTATGAATATCAGACATTTATAATCCCATTTATTTATCTTTTTAAGTTTCAAACTGATCTAAGCAAATGATATGCAAAGCAGTAACAGAAATTAACAAGAAAATAAACGCACCAGGTTTGCATTTGCTTCAAGGCCTTGCAGAATGAAATCCCATGTGAATTCTAGTCCTCTGGCTCCCACCCATAGAGGTGCCAGTCTATGTAAAACAGAATCAGCAAAAGCCCACCCTGCAAATAGGGAAATAATGCTGTAAAGCTAATGAAGATTAATAACGCATAACAAAGGCCAGGTGAAAAGAAAACCATGAGGATGGTTTTACAAGACCATTCTCTCTTTCCTGCATTCGAGCATGAAGAGAAGAGATTATGAAGACGTGCAACGTATATAAATATTATACCTTTATTATATTCCTTATCGCTTTTTTAAATTTTCACATAAAAATCTCCCAAAGTGGTTCAAACAAATTCCGAAGGCTTATGATCGAGAAGAGGAAAAACGTCAAGAAAAGGACAGATGTCCATGAAGAAAAAGAGAAGCAGTCAAAACACATACACTCATGTGTGCAAAAGAGAAGTGCCTTTACTGAACTGATATTTTTCAACAATGCTATCCCACATTCCCACGCCCTTTTTTCTTAAAGAAGTGTACCACAATTTGAGGCCAACTTTTTTTGAAGTAACTATGGACATAATAAAAAACAATCTCATGTGAGATTATGGAGAAGAAATTCAGTATCAGTTCAACACAAGAAATCAGCTTGATTTTGCAAGGGAAAAAAAGGTTGCCATTCATATGAAATGACTAAGACAAGTTAAACTCACCAAGACCAACAGCTTGAAATTTATGATTTTGAGAGATGTTCCTGTGAGTCAACTGGGTCAAGGCAAAGTAAAGCCCAGCAACATCTATAAATCCAATCAGTGCTTTCAGTAGTTCCTGCATATAGGTGGTGTTGGTGACAGGTGATTCACAAATCAGAATGCACGTGTCATCAGAAAGCAAAGAACATTTAAGAGCAAGCACAGAGAGCATGAAGGAAGATTCGGTTGCGTGTTAGTCATCTCAAGAGTCAAATTCAACTAAATGATGAATTCCAAACAAAAAACAAGTAAAGAAGGCTAGCAAAAAGAAATATCAAATGCTACAGCATTCTCCTTTCGCTTCTTTTCATTGCATGAGTAAACATATTATTTTTCATACACCAAACTTGATCAGCAGCCTCATGGGCGTATTGTATTACAACAAATCATTTCCACGCTGTTCATCAATAAGTTTGCTTACAGAATAGTTTTCATATCTACCCAATATAAAACGCAAGGGTCGAAATACAAGCATTTTATATCCTCCGTAACCCTGTCCAGCCTTCTTATACATCAAAATTCAGCTAATCAAAAACAAATAAAAATTACTCCATTTCAACTTCAAAATTGTTAAAAATAAAGCAATAAAGTACCTGATACGGATCAAAGCTATCATTCTCAGACACATTAAGAAACGTTGCCAAGCATACCAGCTGCCAACATACAGAAAAGAATCTAAATTAAAAGATCCCAACCTTAAATTCATAAAGTAATAATAACTAAAGAAAAAACGCAAAGTTCCCAGCATTAAGAGAAATGTAATAAAAATTCATAATTACAGATACTAATTAACTCTACAAACCTTAACTAGAGCAGTTCCAAGATAAACAAGTGCAGCTTTAACAGAAGTACCGAGTGTATCATACTCAGACCTGCAAACGTTTAATTTTACCATAATTTTTTTTTAAAAAATCAGAAATTATAGTAGGTTTTCCGTAAGAAGATCATTCGAATTTAACAAGATTCTTTTCAGAGAGAGAAAGAGAGAGGGGATTACAAGGGCGTGGCGGAGTAATAGACGGCGTGGGGGCCGAAGGTGAGAATCGCGCAGTTGAAGAAGTGAAACAACGTCATCTCCCTGTCTCTCTTCGTCTCCGGAGGGAAGTGTGAGATCCAAAAAGAATCGAAGAAGAAAGAAATTTGGAACGGAGAAGGAAGAAGAAGTAATTCACGAAAATACCACTAAGAGCCGGGCCTGATTGAGGTAGAGATAGAGATAGAGTTAGAAAGGACCTGTGCGTTGGGTCACTTGACGCATTAATTCGTCTAATTTTGGGCCTGGATTTTTGTGTGTGATATTAAACATGAATCATTTGTTAATTTAAAGAATTCAATTTTGGAAATTGATCCCAAATTATATGTGATATGATCCAATCTTGATCTAATTCGAAAAAAAAAAGATTTAATTTTGATTGATATAAAATTTATTAATAATACCTCTCTAACTACAATAAAAAAATCAATAAATTAACGAAAAAAAAGAAAAGAAAAATAAGAACGAAGTTGGGGATCGAAAATAACTTGGTGTTAGGAGATATTTCGTAATAGTTATATATCTGTTTCAACATATATCAGGATATTTATTAAGACTCGAAATACAGACCCAATTTATAATTTTTTAATAGACATTAAATAATTTCATGTCTAAGACCGATCTCAAATTTTTTAATGTTATCTGAATTAATTTATCTTTTAAATAGACAATATTTAAAACAAAACTAGCAACGAAGCTTTAAATTTTCAACGAGGGAGGCAAATTTATTAATATGCTCCCCTTGTTAAAGAAGATAAAAATTGTTTTATTATTATTATTATTATTAAACTTCATCATTGCTTCAAAAATACGATTCGAAAATTTCAAACATAGGATTCAAAATTTTAGAGTGGTCTTAAGGCAAATAAGTACGTAACTTACCTCCCATTATTTTTTTTAAAAAAAGAAAAAAGTAAGGAAGAGTGCGCACCTTTCCTTGCAATTAGGATTCATAGGTTTTTCTAATACCAATTCATTAAATATTTGCAAGTTTACAGCCAACTGAAAGTCACCACATAATAGGTATCTGGACCTGCGTAGCCGCATAGCCTGTAGATGTTAAGGACTATTTTAAGTTTTCTTTACCCTTCTTGTGAACCATTGGGCCTCTGACATATTTTGGAATTGGGGGATCCAGAAAAGGGTCCAATTTTTGTGCTGGGCTGGATAAATTGTTTTTAATTTTTGAAATTATTTCTGTATTAAGAAAATCTGGACTCTTCAACTCTTCAGTATTAAACACCATCCCTATATTTGTGCGTTCCCATCGGCCATTGTTTCTTCCAGGCTTACTATAACGGTTGCAGTTGCATAGCCATAGAGTCGGTCCACTATTAAAACCCAAATAATTCTGATCCTCTTTTCCTGTATAGGAAGCACAAAGGCCAAACAATAAAAACTTTCAATTAAAAGTAAGGAAAAAAGAAAAGAAAAGAAAGAATTCATTGTAAGAAAATAGTTCGATTGATTGAACGCTGAATATGTGGAGCAAGATGTCCGAGACATTGTTACCAACCATAAACTATCCATGTTCTGTACACAGCCAGCACTAGAATTTGACAATGCCATCCCAACTGTATCACACTAGCTTACCTACCGCCTAATTTTTCCTTTTAAAATCAGAAGAAATCAGATTCCAGGAATGTCTTATATCCCAAGTCCCCTATCTTTGTTTTGAATCTTTTACTGTTCATCTCTCTCCATGACCTCACATGGCCTCCAATTATTTTACTGCAACCTTGTTTGCTGGCTACACTTGGTTGTAGTCTGCAAGATGTGATGGTGTCATGTGTTATTCAAACTTCCCAATTGAATTAACTTGTCTGCTTGTTTTTTATCTCAAAGTCTCCACATTCCTCAACACACTTTCGACCTTATCGTAAAGCATTTGATCCTGGCCGGTAGATCTTTCAACAACTAGCTCCATCGAGAACAACATTATAACAACCAATTTCTTTCTTCTTCAGAGAAAGATTTTTTCTTTTTAACTTGGACCCATAAAAACAGAAACATATTCATCACCTTTTGTTTTCTCTAGTGCCCCATATAGATCGGACAAAGCATACTGGATAGAACAAAAGTATTTCCAAACAGGAAAGTCGATTTCACATCCTTAATTATAATACTCGACATATCATTTTCATATTCATTTTATTAATCCTAACAATATTGTTAATGACAATCAGTATAACATAATAAGTATTGCCAAAAGGGTGTTTAATATGAAGTTCAAAACAATTATTATAAATGTATTAATCTACGTCAAGGAGCAGTTTTATTCCTGGTGAAAAAGAAATGATGTATGGGGATTTATTTTGCTGATGTTGACATAAAGGGATTTGGTTTCTTCTCTACATACTCTATGAATAGGGTGCTTTAAGTGCTTGACAATTGACAACCAAAAAGGGCATTCTTTCAATCAATGTGAGAAAGGGTCAAAACGAGGAAGATATTGGGAGGAGAGGCATCATTAAGCGTTGGACAAAATATAAAAATCTAACTCTGTGGTCCAGGAGACAACTATATATATATATATATCAGAAAATGAGAGTGCGACAGAGTCACGAGAATATTAAAAAAGGTTCCTTCCCAAACATATAGAAAAGGATATGATCAAGGAAGCCAAATCAATAGACAAATACAAGGGGAGAGGATGCAAGTGATTGGGATAGGTATTTCTTTCCATAGCACACACTACAAAAATTGGTTTCGAAAATCCATCTTCACCGTATAACTAATGTGCTAAAGCACAAGGATATATATATATATATATATATATATATATATATATATATATATAGACACCATGAATAGAAATCTAGGAAATTGAAAATGATAGCAAATAAAAAATAATAATTATTTTTATTTGATAAGACCAAAGTTTAATTTTTATTCTTTACATATAATTAGTTATAATTATTTTTTAAGAGTAGAAATTTGAACTGATTTGGTTTAAGAAAAAATACAGTACTAAACTAAAAACTAAACATTAATTTGAAATTAGTTTAGTCTGAAAAATAATAAATTTAATTTTAATTAATGTAAAAATTGATTTAAAGATACTTTGGAGTGTCTCTCTCTCTTAGATCATCATTCAAATAAAAAATTGAAGTTAAATTACAGCATTTGCGTCTTCAGGTTTATCGCAAATGCATTGTTTAATTTCTTTATGGCTTACGATCATACTGGCCAGTGAAAAACACAATGTCATCGGGAAATTAAGAGATGATTACCCGTTTACTCTATAAAAACCTGGGGAAGTTATTTCATATTATACAATAAGACAAAGGTAATCTAAAAACAGGCTAGGTTTCCCTAATCTTTACGTATACCTTAATAACTATGTACTCGACTAGAAACTGCTGTAGTTTACTTATATATATATATTGGGTAAAGTAAGTAATTTCAAGCAGAGCAACTCTAAACAGAACCAAGCCGGGTTTCAAGTTTTAGTGCCCGTTCTGCAATTCCCAACAACAACTGATGGCAAGCACATGATCTACTCTGAATGTGGGTCCTGCGACACTAGGTACAATATTTCAGTTTGCAGCGATCTTGATCAAAAGCTTGATCAAGTGGGTTGCTGAATTTATAAGCTATCTAAAATCCCCCTACGTTCACCTCTGGTAATTATAAGTAAAACACAACTTTCTTCACACGACGAATCATGCACCAGACATAACCTCTCAACTCTTTGTTTTTTTAGAGATTGGTTCTTAGACTTTTACAGCATACGGCCCTGGCTAATTTAATTTTCATGGCTCCACTGCTTTCAGTTCTTGCAAAAGAAGAAATGAACTGTACATTTACCATCTTCTCTGTACTAAAATTCCAGTAAAATCCATGTCAGAAAGAGGACTGGTCTGGACAATAATGTTTGCAGGACTAGGGGTTTGGCATCTATCCATCGCCTTCAGTTCACTCAACCCGGTGAGGATATATTGGGGCTTTCAAAGTAGTCAATGTCCTCTGGCAGTGGAATATTGTAAAATTTGTGCCTGTTGTTCACATCTCTTTAACGAAATTTCATTTTCATCTGGTGCAAACAGGTCCGAGGAAAGAAAAATTAGAAAATAAAAATTGTAACTCCTGATCTCTAGGCTTTAATGCCAACTAAGATCCAATATGCATTAATTGGTTTGACCCATCTTGTAATTACTCCGTACTCCTATATTTTCATTTGAATCAGAATTAAGACTTAAGAGCATATATCTGTGGCTAATCAACATTGATGCTAATATTGACTGGATTGGGGAAGTGAGTCGTGTATGATTGATTGAAAATATTTTATATATGTTGTTTTCACCTTCAATTATCCTTGCTTTTCGCCGTTTTGTTTTTCCTCTTCTTTTAAATAACCGGTCGATTTAGTTCATGAAGATATTCAATAGGTCTTGAGTCTGTATTAAACAATTTGAATTTAATTGCCTTTTCTTTTTTGCCTTCATTTGATAGAGAATTTATACGTTGGACCAACTCTTTGGAGAACTATTTTTTCTTTTCCAGTGGGTTTTAACCCCTTTTGGTACCAAAGAGGAAAAAACCAAAACTTTTGGAGACTAATTAATTTGTTGTCACTTTCAATATTGGTGAACGCAAAATGGAGGCAGATATACCTGCTAAAAAGCTTATAAATTAGTAGCATTCATAACCTTGGTTGGTAAGAGGATGAAGTTTTACAGTCTCAAGACGTGAGATTGTTGTCCAATAAACTACTTATTAAATTTGCCAGAAAAACAGGGTAGATAGGTTCCTAGGCTGTCTGACTTCGTTCAACTTTTAAATCAATTTATTGCAGGTGAATTGACACCTTTGTACTTCATCGTAAGTGTATAATTGTCCACTAATTGCTTGGGGATGGATGCTTCTGGTCACTGAAACTGCCATGCTGAATTGCAGACCCTCTGCTCTGGTGGCGCGTGGGTACTGTGAATGTACCTCATTTGTGATACAAAACGTTTCTTTCAATTATGCTCCTCCAAAAAGTGTCAAGTACCCATTCAAGTTCCCCAATTAATAACTCATTGAGCATTTTCTAACCGAGTTTTTTTTACCATGTAGTAGCTGTAAGTGTAGAAAATATCTATAAGCATGGTCGTACCATATGTCATGTAGTATTTTAAATTAATATTATTTGTTATTATATATATTTATTTTTCATAAAATCTATAAGTAAGAATTAAAAGCTAAGAACTCAATGGACTCTTAGTGATGAACTACACATATGAAAGTGCAAAATTAGATTTAAAAAAAAGTTTCTAATTTACTCATGTATATATTAAGTAAAGTCCTACATTATTCATCATACATAGAAAACCTAAAATATTGGTATAAACTAAAAACCTTTTATTTTTTTAGGGCACCAACTTTTCTTATGAGAAAATTGCTTGAAAACTTAATTATAATAAGCGATATATTCTATTAATTTTCACTCTAATTAGTATATGTTTGAACATATTATCTTACAGTTGTTAATATTGTCAGCCGTCTTAGTTCCTATTTTCATAAGGGTATCTTTTTAGCTTGATCTGATAAAACTTTGTTATTTGATTAGGTAATACTCCTGCAAATTAAAGACGCAAAGAAATTGTACCGAACCTGCTGCAAAGCGATATGGTGGTGGGAATTAGTAAAATCATGTTTATTCCATGCATGTCGTGGTGCACGTCAGCCCAAACGGCGTTGATTTCGGTGATTCCATCCTTTCTTTTTTGTCTTTCTCTTCGATACTCAGAGAGTGGGAGAAGGTGAAAAACCAAATTTCAAACCAACACATGCCCGTATTCTGATCTCACGAATCACCATGAAGAAGCTAATATTCTTCCAAAAAGGCCAACGATTATTTTAATCGTATCAACAGACAAAAAATGGACATAAATGGGTTTGTAAATGAAGTCAGCATTTCTGCTCAAAACCAAGAGTGAATGCTACTCAATTGCTGTCCAAATATGCTCATTAGGTCACCGATCTTGTATGATTTGGAACATCTGACGCTTTAAGCGCTAACGAAGGTATATATAATTTATTTTTTCAACAAATAATTAAATACTCATCAATCATTTAGTTCGATTTTCTTGGCGATTGAATTTATATGCAGTGTAAACATCAAATTAGAGATTAAGCTAACTTGTTCCACATTGCATGTTATTAATTTGCACCTTCACTAACAGGAGGAATAAATTAATGTGGTGGGGTGGGAAATTTTACCAGTTTGGTCATAAATATTAAAGTTAAGCGGCATATATTTACATGCAGATGATTAAGTAATAAACAAAAACATATCTCTGTCGTTATTATGCTTGTCTGAGATAAGGATTTTTTTGGTTAAATTACGCGTTTATTGAGACCAATTTTTTTTTTCAAATAATTGTAAAAACACACCTTCTACATCAGTTTAATGTATTTTAAAAAAAAATAATAAATTATTTTAAATAGTAATCTCAAGTTTTAAATTCAAAAAATTAAGAAAACGAGTAAATTTTCTTAATCACTAGACCAACCCTTTAAAATTATGTCTTTACTTACTTGATATCAACCCTACAACCATGTTTCAATAATTAATTAAAATGGTGGTATGTGGGGAGCTAGTTATCTTAATTGCGTATTGCTGGCCATGGTACCTACTGGTTAAATTTTAGCCTAATTTTGTAGCAATACAGAAAAAAGGATGGAGTGATTTTCTAGTAAAGATATAAAATAATGAATGCAAAAGCTTTCAAATACTGTAGTAAATATAAAGGAGAGAGGTTTTTTATGAAAGAGACAGCTAGGACTAGTTCTTATAAGACAAACACATGGAATATGGAATATAGCGGGAGCATTTGACAACATTACAAGTGATCCATAGAAAGACATGTTGACCGGATATTACCCTACTACGAACTGATTACTCAGTAATCGATCTAAAGAAAGAAGGAGAATTTATTATAGCCCAAATAAAGTAACACAAGAAATACAAAAAAATTTCATTTCCCGGAGAATCTAGAGCGCATCAGGCGCTGACCGCGGCTTCAAAAACTATAATTAAGAAATGATTAACACTTTATAGTCATCACCTTGTTGTTATTGCAATTAATCAAGTGCTCCCATAAACAAACAAAGGAAAAGCAAAGCCTGGGTTTTCGAGCATAATCAAATAGAGAATGCAGCATTTTAAACGGGGGTAGGAGAAAAGCAAAGAAAGAACAAGAGAAGAGAACAAGAGAAGAGACTATATAACCTAGACAAGGTCACGTCCATGAGTCACGTGATGGGAACCCCATGCTGACGCCGAGGAATATGGTATGTTTTCGTTTCATATACTATATTTCTTCCACGCCCGGGGGTGGGGCTCCACAGCTGGGTTTAGCCAAAGAATATTAGGACATAGAGAGGGAATATTGGAGATAGATAAAGGATTACAGATTAGACAAACACTACACGGTGGTCATGACTCGAACGTTGGGGTTGCACTCCGTTTTCCATTTCTCACCTGCCACGCGCCGCTTTAAAATTTAAATACTAAACCTTAGCCGTACTCTATGCCCACTAGGGTTTGTTCTTATCTACTTAAATCATGCCCGAAAGTTAATGGCTAGTATTTTTTTCTTAATTTTTAAATTACGAAGTTATCGGAATCCTAGTAACTCATATATATATATATATATATATATATATATATATATGTTAAGTAATGTTCGTTTTAGATTTGCAATCCTCTTGTGGGTGCTATTTTATTTCTTAACGTGAAAATTATGTTAATCATAAAAATAAAAATAAAAATTCTGTTTGTTTTTGGTAAAAAATATAAATTTCATTTAACTGCAAATGAGTAAGACTTTTACATTTTGATCTAAAACGAACCAAAATCCTAAAGGATTCTATGAATAAATAAAATAAAATGAACTTATATGCCATATTAAGCATGTCCAAATTAAAAAACATATATATAATGAAAATTTTACTTAAAGATTAAAAATCTAAAATTCAGATCTAAATTATATAAATTATCTTACATGTGAATGGACAACTAACACACTTTTTTTTTTTTCTGACGATCAATCTGTAGCTACTATAATTTTTCATTTGATACTTATTTTTTGAAAAAAAACGTATCAGAAGACTGATTTATTAAATATCAATCTATGTAACAATTTCGCTGCATTATAAAGATCTATAAAAGGGCGAAAAAACATGAGAAATAAGAAAAAAATCAATCAAACACTAATTTAAAGCTAAAAAAAGCTAGATAAACTGGATAAATATTATCAAAAAATAAATGAGATATAGTAGTAAAAATATCAGAAATGGAAATTTTATATGTCTAAAAAATAATAAATAAATAAATAAGAAAAAAAATGATACCATAGATAGCTGCAGTTAAGAAAAAACTCAAGAAATTCTCATAACGAGAAAGAGAAAAAAGTATGTTACAGTAGTTATAATTATGTTAACATATATTAATAAGATCAATTTTCAGTCCCCCAATGAATTTGTAATTAGTGGCCTAAATCATTTCCTGGAAATTTTTTTCAATACTTAGATTTGTGAGATCCATTAGTAACTTAAAATTTCATTCAATCAATGAATTCTTTTTGGTGAGATCAGCTTTACTTTTTTACCAGAAAAATAAATCCAATTAGTCAAACAGTTGAACTTTACTACATGCCGCGTACTTTTTTATTCTATCAAGCGACCCATAAATTGAATATTGGAATTTAAAGTGGCAATCATAACTTTTTTCTTTTTTTTTTCTTTGAACTTTTGAAATAAATAATAAAAATCTATTCACTTGGACATGGCCAACCAAAGCAGCTTGAGCCAAACTGTGTGATTGTCGTGAAAAAATATGTAGACCTACCCCTAACAACAAACGTTGATTGGTTAATGAGTAATTGCTACTAAATTAGGAAGTAATCCAAAAAAAATTTGATTTAAGTAAAAATAACTTTAATTATTTAAATAAATAATTTTAAATTTAAGTCTTTATACTTAGGAGGGATTTTGACCACAGATTTTCATGGGGGGCATTAACTGGAGAAATTAAAGCGCGTGGGGTACAACTTTTTTGAAATGTAAAGAGAAAGTGGGTCAGAGATAGTTTTGCATGTGGGTCTGCGACCCTGGTGTCGCCGGACACCCCAGCCAATCTGACACACATAGCTTCTTCTCTTAATAATTCCCCCCACCACTTTCCATTTGAATCCCTCCTCCTCCTATATATCTGTCTGCTTGAAAGGGGTTCGCACGTGTACAGCTCGATATTTATTGATAATTTGCTACGTGCGCACCAAGACTAGAAGAGACCTAAACGAGTTAATTTCCTCCTCATGGCTGGCTTATCTTGTGCTGTGTCCTTTGTAAAATGGAAGTTGAACAAAGGACACACACTCGATTGACTTGACTAGAGCTGGCAAAATAATGGTCGGTTCAGGCAAAGAGAATTAAAATTGGGATGGAAATGCAATATTAGAGCAAAATATTCTCCACTTGCGATTTTCTTATCAAAGTCTTTGCAAATTGATCCAAACCTTCACTGGCTGTGCTATTTTTTTTATTAGAAGGAAAGGGATCGATCGTGCTAATCCTTACTTTGTCATGATCATAACTTGCATTGATTATTTAATTAAGTTTGATAAATTCACATTTACGTCCTAAGAAAAGAACATCTAGTACTTAAAACTCTCCAGACATCGTTTAGCTTTTAAACAGATTATTTCTTAATTTTTAATTACACAAAGATTAACGCATAGGATACGTCTGCATGGAAGAGGCCAACAACTGCAGCATTTGAACATATATATGTAGATATTGGGCCTACCAGTCAATCCTCGTTCATGAAATAAAACGGGAATATTCTAATTGAACCAGAAGCTTAAGAAAATCGCCATTGATTAAAATAAAATCTAAATATATAAAAATCTTATAAAGGAAACATAAAGAGGGAGTAGCTCTAGGGAATCTAAAAGGGTCACGATCCATCAACGTATAGAGATTGTGAGAGCCACAAGGAGAGAGAGAAAAGGAAAGGAATTTATCATCAATTTAGACTCACTCACTCAATTCCCTTCCAATATTCCTTGAACAGTACTTTTATGTTTTCTCAAATTCCATCCATTTTCCCTGCAAAAACCACCATTAATATATCACCTGCAAAACAATTTTTTTTTCCATTGTCAATTGTAAAAGATAAAGAAAGAAAAAGGGTCCCCTCCTCCAGCTCTCTCTGAAGAAATATCTCCGACCTTTCTGCATCCTTAAATACACAACTTTCTCCTTTTACAAACTTTTCATTCAGACCATCATCCCCAGAAAGACTGTGTTACTTTCTCTTTTCTTGAATTTTTTTTTAACCTCTCTCACTACCACTCTGACCAGTCTCTGCAATTCCTCCGATTACCTCGCTATTTATATTTCTTTCTCTGATCTTCTATTGATCAACCCTAGAGCGATCCTACTAAAAGAAAGCTAGCCTACTGATCATTTCTCTCTACTTTACAACTCTATGCCTCTCTCAACACCCATGCAAATCATAAGGCACTAATGATATAATCATTATATAATCACAACGATCCATTCGCTTTTCAGCTGCATATCCCCATAGCTCTTCCTTCAAAGTTCTCACCCATTCCCTTGCTTTCTATTTTACTTTCCTTATTGTATTATTCAAACCTCTTTCTTACTCCCTTGCTACTCCCAAACCTGACTGAATTAGATATATAGATCTCTATCTTCTTCATGTTCTCAAGTTCAACACACATAATGAGAACTATATCACCTTTTCCTGATCTTTCATTGCAGATCAGCCCACCATCAATGGAAGCGAAAGAAACGGGCTATAATGGAGGATTAACGAGAAAAGCCCTGTGTAGTGATAGGAGCTCAACTACAGATTCTGGTAGTAGTGGAAGTGATTTAAGCCATGAAAATGGTTTCTTCAATCAAGAAAGGGGTTATAATCTTGGTCCTAGTGAACCAACTTTGAGCTTAGGGCTTGAAATGGCAGATTTGGGTGCTCCAACACTTCAACTAACAAGAAATATTAACCACCAGCATCACCACCACCGCCATCAACCTCAAATCTATGGGCGTGATTTCAAGAGAAGTGCAAGAATGATTAGTGGAGTGAAAAGGAGTGTAAGGGCTCCTAGAATGAGATGGACCACAACTCTCCATGCCCATTTTGTTCACGCGGTCCAGCTTCTGGGTGGCCATGAAAGTAATACTCCAAAACAATTAAAGATATTCTTAAAAACTTGCACCCACTAGTATATTTCTATATCTGAAGTTTGTTTCCAGTGTTTTTTCTCTTCTTAATTGTTTGACACGAAAGTAGAGTTATTTGTTAATATAAAAGAGAAGAAGTTTACACATTTCTCTTGACAAATATTGCTACAGGAGCAACACCAAAATCAGTGTTAGAGTTGATGAATGTGAAGGATCTTACCCTAGCTCATGTGAAGAGTCACTTGCAGGTGGGGTTGCTGTGTTCAATCTGCACTGCTTTGAATTTGTGTATTGGTTAGGATATTTTCGACATATTTCATCTTGTTTTTGCACTTTTATCGTTACATATATCTATGTATTGCTGTGACTAATTTGTAGTGCGGACGGAAACAAGGGGTAAGGACAAAAGGGCATCTCTGAAGTAATCTTAACAATGTGGACTTTTTCTCATTTTTCCTGTGGGTGTTCATGCAGATGTATAGAACAGTGAAGAGCAGTGACAAAGGACCAGGTAAATTATAACGTCCTCATAAGAACTCGTTATATATTTACTCTCTTCCGTAAATGTCTTTGCTAGAGAGAGTGTTGGGATTCAAGTGTGGCCAAAAACTCTTATCATTTGATGTACTGTTTTCAACTAACACACACACACACACATATTTATATATATATATTATTGGGATCGGACTGACAGAATTAATTAGTCCATAGATGAATTATTTGCTGAGTGTCTGATAAAGCAGGAGCAATGACTCCATATATGATGATTGCAGGTCAAGGGCAGGCAGACATGGGTTTGAACCAAAGGGCAGGGATTCTTGAGGTGGATGCTGCAGGTTTATCTAGTGGAAAAGCTGATGCCAACAACCCTCCTCGATCCCTCAATAATCCACAACCAACATCACCACTATCCGCTATACAAAAAAACCAGAGGTGACTTGTGCTTCTCCTTCCTTCTTATCTCTTGTTTCTTTATGTCGTTATAAGGTGCATCTTATCCTCTCAAAAATTTTAAAATGGTATAGTACGAAACCATTCTTCAATGAATAGATTAAATCAACGGAAGCATATTTACAGCACGCATTCACACAAATGCCTTTGATGAATTGATGGACTTCAATTTGGTCCAACATGTTCTGTCTTAGTTATTTGTGTAGATAATAGGTTTCACTATCAATACAGTCTTTACATAGATCTTAATGAAGTTCGCCTAGGGTTTCTAGGTTAAGTGTGGTGATTAACATACGTGTACCTTTCATAGCAATATAGATGTGCCCCAGCATGCTCTTCATCCGTTAGATTATGAATGTATCTTAATCCCAATGTATGGGAAAAGTCAAGGCTTGGTTCCAATCTCAATGCTATTCTATTCCAAGGGTTATTTGTTTTAGTTTCCAGTGCACAACTCATATCAGAACCTCAAATGGTCATGCTAACGTTTCCAGTCTTCCGAGTCATTAATATTTCACCATTGGCTGGATCTGTTGACTTATTCCTGTGGACAATCAGTTAAAAACCAGAAGACTGGGTTTTGCTCCCCATATTTGAATCTTCAGTATGGATCTCTTTTGTTTCCATGCTTTAATATTTATTTCTTTCAATTAATTTTTTTTCCCATAAGTTTTCCCATAGCCTTGCAAATATTACCTCATGTTATCTTACCTTACTTAGGACCGGAGAGAAATAAAGCAAAAAAGAAAATTAATCTTGATAGACATAGCACATATATAGTACTTATGGAAATGTATGCATAATTCTCTCTTCAAAAATTGTACTTTGTATTAAAACTGCTTCTCTAGTAGTATCTCATAATATAAAAGAATAATGTAATCACAAGTTGGTAACATGTTACTTGTTGATTAGGTTAAAAATTCAATTCTTGTAGCCAACAATTCTAAGAATTTTCTCAAAATATACGAGACCGTGTGTTGAAAAATATTTTTTAACTATGTTCAGAAAGAGATTAGTTTTGAGGTGTTCGAAAATTTACTCGAAAACGCTCTTATTGCTGAACCAAAAAAAAAAAAAAAAAGCAAAATAATGCAATATTTTAGATATTGCAATGCTTTCACATCTTGTGATTCTGGAAACTTTTGATGTATATTGTATCCAAATTTTCAACAATTTTTCTCATTGATTTTCTATTGCACATCAAAATCTTCTAATCTGGTGAGCCTAGTTATGTATACCTAAAACTCAATTGATTATATCATGAATTTTTATTACCTCACATATAGCTGGAAAAGAAATGAAAGAAAGTAGACACCCTTTCGCCCGCAAAATATTTGCTTATATTTATTAGTCATAGTTTAATATTGATTTCTTGGCGATTTTGTGAACAGAAATTCAGGGCCATTATCAATGGAGGGAAATGAGAAAAATAGATCAAGTCTTGAGTCTCTGACATATTCTAATTTCGAAGCGCACGATCATTCCAAGGTATATATGACATTATCATCAAAAAAACAAATACATGGATTATATACACACACACACTATTCGTCGAATTTGTACCTGATTATGTCTGTATCCATCCTTAATTAGGAGGACGGACACAAGGCAGCTTTCCACATGGCTGCTAATATGAAGGAGAGATTGGACTCTACCTCCTTGTCATCTTCAGATACGTTGCTTAACCTAGAGTTCACCCTTGGAAGGCCAAGTTGGCAATTGGACTATGCTGAATCTTCAAATGAGCTAACCCTTCTCAAGTGTTAATTAAACACGCTAACAATCTATGAATTTATGATTTATCTAATCCTCTTTTTAATGGACGAATATCTACTAATCTTTGTGCATCGATCTTCCATGTTTCTTGGATTTTGTCTCGAATATGAAAGGGTGAAAAATAGAGGACAAGTTTATCATATGTTGCAGTCAAAGAATACAAGCCATAGTTAATTAATTGTGATTGCGAGATTTCTTTTCAAGAAAATTTGAGTTAATTACAGAGCAGGAGTAGCTTTCACCATCCCCTAAGTTTCCACCCATCCCTGTTAAGAGCTCAGTTTGATAAACCTGTCACGGCAGCTTATATATATATGCTAGTACATTTTTTATTTTGGGCTGTGGTCTAGTTAATTTGTCCTTGTCCGAGGGACCGGAACGATAATTTACTTGGTGAGGAGAGACCAATATCCACTATATATGTTGAGTGCAATGTTTCTTCACTCATGTTTATTTGAGCTCAGATTAAAGTAGTTATCGTAAACTGATCGCATATGAATGTGAGTGAAGGAAAATTTTATAATAATTAAAAAGTAATTAGTGAAAATTACTCCATAAAAAGAGAGATACAAAGAAAAAAGAGAGAAATAAGAGATGAAATTTTTTTAAAAAAACTGAATTAAGGTACAAATCTTCTTATTATTTTTAATGAGTCCGGATGTTATTATTATTATTATTTTATATATCTATCTCTCTCTTTAAAAATGAACCCATGAAATAACTATTTTACATCTACAGTAATTACTCTTTGAATATTATAAAATTTTTGTGAATATGATACCATGCACTTGCCGATATTCAATAATTGCTTTATTTAACCTCGCATTAACTTAATCATTTCCAGCAATACTAACACGACAACAAATTAAATTTGTGTATAATTATATATCTTGCAATTGATTTGGATTTGTTAAAAATTAGTGTTTTGCTATCCTTCTTATTATTGTATACCTATTGCATTTTGACCTTTGAAAAGTAAGCATAACCTGAAAGTACCCAAAAAGTTACAGGACCTAATTAATTATAAAATCTGTCATGGTCATAGCCACGTTCAAACCTTGATTTTGTGCATAAAGAGGGAGAACAAAATGGACTATTGTGCAAAGGGTATTGCTAAATACATTAGATATTTTGTTATTCCTATCAAATTTTTTATTATAAATTATCAACACGTCCACACATCAAGTTGGTGACTAAATAATGATTAGATGTGAGGGTTTGTTAGTAATTTAAAATAAAAAATTGATGAGAATAACAAAACATATGGTGTATTTAGCAATATCCTTGTGCAAATCTTCTTTGCATTTGTTTGTGCTCAATGTTTTGACTTCTTTGAACTTGAGCTTCGTACTTTTATTTTTATTTTTAAAAATCGAAGATTACATTATAAGCATAAACCAATATGATATTGGTATAAAAAAATTATAATCAAATTAAGAAGTCATTAAATCTCGATAGACTAGACTTAGCTAGAGAGTCATTGTAGTGACCTAAAAAAAAAAAAATCGAGCTAGTATAAATAGGAGTAGTAACTCGCTCCTATTTTTAGCATTTTCCATTCTTTCTCCCGTCCTTCTCTCACTTATTTCTCTCCCAAAAACCCTCCCCATTTTTACTTCAATTCATAAACTAATTCATTATTAAATTAGCTTAGGGGAAACATAAATTGGAGGATTCAAGTGGAGTTTAGTTAACTTGGGGCTTTGAAAGCTTGGAGAAGCTTGGAAGAAATTGGAGAATTGGAGGACAAGTTCTTACGATAAGATTTTGATCCACCGATCTTTGACTTCTGAATTTTATATGTAGTTAATGATGATATTGATAGGCAATTACTTTGAGTTTATTGAATTGCTTGAGGAATTGATTAGATTAAGGTTAGGATTTTAAGTCCCATTTGGGGAAAGGTTTGGTAAAATAGTCCTAGATATTTAATTGGTATTTAATTATCTTGAACAAGTGAATTAAGGAGTTAATTTAAAGTAAAATTGAGTGAATTTAAGAAATTGAGAGGTTGAAGATGATGAATAGTGATAAATTCAAAAATTAAAAAAAAATGAGAAATTAAGTTGTGTGTGTGTGTGTGTGTGTGTGCAATTTAAGATTAATGGAATGAGTATTTGGTGAATTAGAATGTATTGGATTATCTAAATTGAAAATTCATGATTAAATTAAGAATTGATGATGATGAGATTTAGTGAGCTATGGATTAGAATCAATTGAAGGATTATAGGATTTAGTTAGATTATCGGATCGAGTCTTTCCAACCAATTTCGTTTTTATTTGATAATCTTGTATTTTAATTCTAGAATAATCCATTGTTGGGATTATTCCTTATCATGCGATATTAATGAATGATCCTTCATTTTATGATGATAGATTCTTCGGATTGAATGATCGCATCACAACCTTGATTTCGTTCGGTTCTTCACATTATTATGTGCTATGTTTTCAAGTTCTTGATTTGTTCATTCATGCATCATTGTTTATGAATGATTTATAAGCAATTCTATTAGAACCTAGATGAGAACATATATCATAAATTTTGAAATTTTTTTGTATCAAAATGATTTGGTATGAATTGAAATGAGATTGAATGTATAAATGGATTTGATATGTGTTTTTGAATTTGAACATTAATATGTTATATCTGTTACTTAAGTATTTGTATAATTTCCAAAATAGATACATGGTATTCGAAATGCAAAATTGAAAATGTGTAAATATGCTTGATTTTTTAAAATGTTTTGAAGACTATAAGGGAATCTAGCTACCGAGGGGATAACCTTTGAACTTAATAATACGAGGCTCCATCTAGTAAGAGAGGTGTAATGCTAGATCGTATATCAACCAACATGAGATAACTTAGTCATAGTAGGCGTGACCTTTGGGTGTTCGAATCCAATAATATGTTATTACCCTACGGGTGTATAAAACCTATATATATGTTTTTCGTATGAGTATGATATATGTATGAACAAATGCTTGATGATTTGATATGAAATGGTTTTGAATCATTTGATTTATAATATGAAGTGTGTTTTCGAAAATAAGCATTGCATTTTGACATGGATTTGAGAACATCATCCGTAGTTTATTTTCCTTTCCTAATATATTATATAATATCTACTTACCGAGCTATGGTTTGATCACCCCTCATTATTTTAGTTTTACGGGATATTGAGGAATCGCTCATTGTTTTCTTTTGGATGTTTGATTTGAAATCGACACCTTGACCGTATAACTTATTTCCTTGTAATTTCTTTAAAACCTATGTTTATCTTAAATTGTAATCTTAGATGCTCTGCGATTATAGTTGTTGGTAGAGCATTAGAATTTGATTAAGAATATAGATCTTGGATATTGAAATGAGAATAGTATGAAATTTATGAGATGTATTAATGTTAAAGAAATGTTATTTAAGTTATGATGATGTTGATCGGAATGATGATTTGAGTAATATTGTTTTGAGAACTATAGTATAAGTCGGATTATGATTTGAGGTTTAGTTTAGTTTCGATGCTTGCTTGGGTTGAGGTAGGCCTCACAATCCATTTAGTCCTCCCACCGATCATGGCCTACTTTCGGGGTTGTGACAATCATCTATATAGTTCTTTTCTCTTCGAATATGAGAGAAAAAAAACAAAATTTAAATAGAATATCAAATTAAAAATATCATTAAAAATACTTTGAAGTTTTCAAGATCTAGTAGTTGAAGTTTTGTGCATCCAAGCAATAGCATTGGTCGAATTTGACTCATAACATAATGGACTTGATGAGCTAAAAGAGAAACATTAATAATTTCCAAGGCTTTTTGAATTGCCAACATCTCAACTTCATTTAAATCTTTAATCCTCATAGGAGCAAAAAAAGTACATATAAAATTTCTATAATGATCTTGTAATATACCATCGATACCGAGAGATTTTTGGTTTTCCCAACAAAGATCCATCCACATTCCACTTTAAAGAGCCAATATAAGGAGAAATTCAACTAGTTACAGCTCGCACTTTGGCCAAATTAGTCCACATCTTTATACCATCGGAACTTCTAATTAGATCATTTACTATATAAAAGAAATGCTTATTGAAAAACAATACCCAATACACAACTCCGTGAAAAATAAGAGAGAGTATGATGTCCCAATTCAGCTCGAAATCCTTAAATATTAAATCATTTCGAGCTAACTAGATAAACCACAACACACAATAAATAATTAAATATCCGACTTTTTTGTTGCATACTATTATAACAAAAATATGCCCAATTTGAAGATATGTCATTGACTATACACGGAACCACCTAAACACCACTCCACTAGCTAATCTCCGAAACTACAATTTCCAAACTTAACTACAATGCAACAAAATCTGATTTGTAGTTTTCGTACAACAAAGACAAGAGGGAAATAATTTTTCTATTGCGGTAATGATACCTTCATTGGCTAAAGAGTTTTTAGTATTTAATCTATTCGAGGCATCTAGCTAAGTAAAAACTTATACTTTTTAGAATGCCAAATTCATCTAAACAAAAGACTTAATAGGAGAATCACCTCGTAGAAGAAAAATATCAAGCATAGAGTTGTATAATATGATTGCAAATGAGCTTTAGAATCACAAGACCAAATAAGATAGTCATCGGCTTCTTTGTAAATATAAAAAGAGGAAACCAAGACTAGAAGTTATTGCTCTTTAGTAAATTCATTGGATTGTAATTGTGTTTGCCATCTAAATTTTTAGTTTCAAGAGTAAAAGTTCCAAAAACACATCTCGTGAACTCGTACAATGATTATTTACGATCAACGTGTAGAGAAAGGGAGAGATTTGTCATAAGGGTAAGATCCCACCTAGATATCCTCTAAAAAAAATTATTGATCTATTACCCGCCACATGTCCGACACCATCCATTATCAAATTAGAGCACATAATTGGTGATAGTTGTACAAATATCATCCGAGCAAGGTGAAAGAGAATTAGTGAAAAAAGGCAAGCCAT